AATGTGAGAATTTCATATATTCTCTAGGAGTTCACACGATTTGTGACAGCGCAAAGGACATATATGAAGATTTATATAGGTGGGGGGGGGGTGTATACTCACACATGAGGGGGGTTTTGTGATATTTCCACACATCACGGGTGGGGGTGAGTTATCCCATTTTTTCTTTTTTATATATAACACATATATATATATATATATATATATATATAATAAAAATTAAAAAATATACATCTGCACACAATATTGTACATGCTTACAATAATTATGAATTCAGCGCCACCTGACCAATTACAGCAGCATTCTTGTCTTTTTTAATGAACAAACAAAATGGTTTTATTAAAAAAAAAATGATTAAAACAACGTTTTTTTACTATTCAATTGAAAACAAAAAATCAAAATCATTTTTTTTGAAATTGGAAGACATGTTATTTCAGAATATATTTTCAGTAATATATTTGAAATGATTTGATGTCATGTGTGTGTTGAAATATTGTGTGTGTAAAATAAAAGTATTTTTTTTTTAAATTGGAAGACATGTTATTTCAGAATATATTTTCAGTAATATATTTGAAATGATTTGATGTCATGTGTGTTTTGATATATTGTGTGTGTAAAATTAAAGTACGTTTGATTTACGTTTCAATTAAAAATGAGTTAATGTGTGTGATGAAAATATATTTTAGTTACTATAAAAATAAAATATAAATAATTATAAAAAAAAATGGTTTCAATTAAAAATGTGTTAATGTGTGTGATGAAAATATGTTTTATTTACTATAAAAATAAAATATAAATAATTATAAAAAAAAAAAAAAAAAATGGTTGAACTGATGCAAGCGTGACCGAGTAACTTATCCGGAGTGCAGTCCGGTTTTCAAAACATGTATGTATTTTTTTTGCAGAACGGAAGAAAATAAATTTGCTAAATATACTTCATACACGTTCAAACTATGCCCTAGACATTGGATTCTCTCTAAACTTTAACATTATCAAATAGACCCCAACTTGTAGAAATTGCGTCAAATACCTCCAAATATATTAAAAGTTAAAACCATCATAAAACCCTTCTGCGTAACATTAGTTTATTTAATACAATGAACATCTTGATTAAAATCGAATTATTTTCGACAATTTTAAGGAATAATTGAAGTTAGATAATTTGCATTTGATATTGTCATGTTTGATGTTTCGTATCGCTAACTAATGTGTAACTTCTATAGTGAATATATGTACATTGTGCTACTATTTAGTTGACATAGTTGATGACGTCTTCGTCGTAAGTTATATCTAGAGCGTGAAGGAAAAATTAGTCGAGTCGACTCATTTAGATCACTTCGTCAATGGATATCTAAGAACCAAAGAAAATGAAAATTAGCCGAGTCGACTCATATATATAATATTTAAAAATGAAAATAGAACCAAAGAATTAGCTCAAGTTGCCCTCAATATTTATTGTAATGGAACCCATTCCCACATCAAGTTGGCTCTTAAATTCATTGACACGTCATTATCGAATTTAAACCTTTAGATATTTTGAGAGGCTTGGCTTCATATGAATAAATAGTAAAAGGCTAACATTTTTACCAGTAGTAAAAGTAAGTGATATTTGAAATTTGATTTTGAAAATTATTAATAAGAATGATATAAATAGTTCCTAGAAAAATAAATATTACTTCGAACTCTTTATTGTTCGGCAAGCGCAGAAAATTTCATTGCTTCATAAATATATAAGTTGATGTGTTTGCAAAAATAAAGTTTTTTCAGCTTATTTTTGTAAAATAACTCTGAATATTCTTAAAGGAATTTAGAAAGAAAAATAAATAAATAATATTCAATGCAACTTTAAGCAGAGACAATTTTGGGATTATAGCTTAAAACGGGCTTATTTGAAAAGCAAAAACTGCATTCGCAAACATATTAGCCAAAAAAATTGTAATGTAAACATCTCTCGAAACATTCATCTACAGAAAATGTATCTATCGTGCACGAACATATAAAAGCATACCAAAATTAATAAATATGTACTATGAAGGGATTGCATTCAATAACTCGATTTCAGACTGTTGGCACAAGGAGTATACCTATTTAGATTTTTTTATACATACAGATACGCGCTACTTTTGAGGAGAGAGTAGCTTATTTTCCTCCGAATCGTGCTTAATTGAAGAATCCCCACCCATCAGCTCCTGAAAGCCTTCAACCTTTACAGGTGGCGCTCTCGGCATACTCATGCTCCTGCGCCGAAAAATAAATAAATAAACACAACTCAAAAAAAAATTAAAAAATAAATAAGGGTCGAAAATAGTAATCTTACGGAGATAGAATTTGTGGGATTTGAAGAGAAGTCATTGGTCTAAACACGTTGTTGTTGTTGTTGTTGTTGTTGTTGTTGGCTTGAACTTGTTGAGCTAGCTGTTGTTGAGCTAGCTGTTGTTGTTCTTGTTGGTGGCGAATCTGTAATAACTGAGGATGTCTGGAATTTACTGCGGCAAATGCATTTGCATCGAGCGGAAATTCGGACGGATTTTCCATCTTCACTTGCACTAAAGGCCTGTTGTCCTTATCGATCATGTTCGTGTTCGTGTTCATGTTCATGTTCACATTCGTGTTCATGCCTGGACGAGGTGCTGGCTGTTGTTGTCTCCTTCTCATTCTCTCCCACTGCTGCTGCTGTTGTTGAAAGGCTAAATACTGGGCATTGTTCATTTGCTGCTGCATTTGTGGATTTATTTGCCTCGGAATCTGTGAAATATGACCGAGTAGTAAATTAACGAAAAATTGCGTGTGTTGAAATATATTAGAAATGCTTAAAAGGGCAAATAAGTCATTTTCACCAAGGGTATTCTTGATTGATCACTATTAGCTGGTCTTTTGTTAAGGCAACGTTTGGAGACCTCGTTTGTGAATGTTGATCGGATTACAATCCTTTTATTAGGTACTCCCTCCTTCCCCTTTTAATTGACGTTTAAGGATTATCCACACAGATTACGAATCTTACTAATTAATCTTTCATTTTGGTAGAAAAAATCAAAATTGCCATTTTCTCTCTCCACATGATGATAATGGCTGTACACATTAAAGAGTTGGAACGACTTATAGTGAGGGGAGGGTAAGAATGGAAAGAGAAAATCAATTTTGTGTTGGAAATTTAAAATGTCAAATAATTTGGGGAAAAAAATTCATTGCTAAAACGCCGATTAAAAAGGGGAAGGAGGGAGTGCTATCCTTCATAGGATTGTGTAATAATAGGGGTGGAGTTTCGACTAAATATCCTAGTTCATATGCTTACTTAAAATCCGGGCTTTTTTTTTTTTTAATCGTGAACATGAAACCTAACCACCAAATATTTGACAAACCTTGATTATGTTGTCTATCAAGTCTTTATCCTAATTCACAAACGAGGGCCAAGAGTATTAGTTTAAACTCAAAGTTTCGTGTGAACTCCAAAACACATATAGAACGACTGTAGAGCAAGAAAATGGAAGAAATGCTTATATATATACCTGCTGCGATGGCAGAATGGAAGGCTGCTGCTGCAATTGCAGTTGTGCTTGGATAGCCTGTACTTGCTGCTGATTTGGTTGTACACCATTCTTGGTGTTATCCTTTATAATTTGGACTAGAGCCCCCATGTTATTACTGGGAAAAAAGGCAGAAACATATTCAATATCCAATGTTAAGAGTTCAAATTATATTCACAAATCGGTAAAGACCAACAAATAAAAACATTTCCAGAGAGTTGCATCACTGACCTATAACCAGCAGTTTGAAGGAACATCTTCACTAACTCATTAGCCGAACACTGCTTTCGATAACTATCAGAAAGGAGCTTCAACGTGCGCCCCAATTTACCGATATGACAGCTCAAAAGCTGCGGCAGAACTTCTAAAGACAAGTCTGAACAAGATTCAAACCCCACATTCGTTAGCAAACGTGCCACCACTTTCTTCGAGATTTGTACGGCTTGTTCTTCACCGCGAATTCTCATGCTTCCATTCCTTCCACGAGTTTGTTCCATGTTCAGAAACTCAGGTCTTATACCAAGCCTCTCAATCATTATAGGACTGATCATTGTACTCTTTGTCATGATCTGAGGTAAATTGTCCAAAACCCCATTAAATTGCAGTTTCTGATGGTTTTCGAGTCCACTTGTTTGCAGAACCGCACTATCGGGGACACAGTTTAAAGTAAACATTGTTTCGGGGAAAAGGGGTATATCGTCAAGCTCAGATAATGAGTTCGGCCGCAAATTTGATGTGTTGTCCACAAAAGCTACTCTCCTTCTTTTGTGATTTTCGAGGACTCGAAGATAAGTAGACATCTGTTCGGGTGTCCGTTTTTCTGATTCTCTATCTCCAAAAATCAATCTATAAGATTTGCTTGCTCTATATTTCTCAAAGAACTGACTGTACCATGTTTCGGGTAATTCTTCCAGCTTATCCGTTTCCGTTTCCGTTTCATTAAATCTTGATCCAACACCAACGGATGTTTTGGAGTAGCCCTGTAAATTAAAAATTAAACAGCCATTTGTTATGACGGTTTTATATATAAAGTGTAAAAGAGAGGTATTGACATTCAGTAGAAATCAAGTTTACTAGGTTAATGAAATGGAAAATTATTCATTAACAAGACGAAAACTCATTCTATGTAGCTCATCTAGCAGAAGCTTTCAATTTAATCTCAGAGCATTAGTCCACTCAATTTGTTGCCGTAAAACATAATTATATATTTCTATGCAAACTACCATATTTCAAGTTACCATAGAGATAAGCAGAAATTATTGTGCATTGAACACTAATAAATGTAATGTGATATTTTTTCGACAAAAAAATTGAGAGAACAACCCGTTGAAAAAGTTTAGCAGGGCAACAGTCCTTATAAAACTTCAAGGTGCGTTTGCTGTTAAAAGTTTTTTAAGAAGGAATTGACTTTCCTGCACTAAAGATAATAAGAGAGAGAAAGAAATAGGTGAGTTGGCTAACTGCATCTAAGTTTCTCTACCATCATGGTTTAGTTTTTTTATCCTGTGTGTTTCTCTTATCAAACTACAGAAGAAGTACCAGAATACAAAATCTTCGTAAGCGATAGGTCAGGTTGAAATATAAGTTTATAAAATGAGATTTAAAAACCTTTGACGATGTAGTATTTGAAGCAGCCAGGCTTGGTTGGCGTTGGTCGACGTCTTTTGCGCCATCTTCGAAAGTGAAATACACATCATCTCCGTGCAACTCCAGATCTGGACCCATTTTCATAATATGCACACAATAGAATACGATATAAGAGATTATTTATAAACTGAAAATTATAGAAAGAAAATTATAGAAAGGACGGATATGAAAATAGAGATTACTTGATATATGCATATCAATACTTACTCTAAAGATGAAAAAATTGACCGTTATTAGAAATAGAGAAAAGAAAAGGACGACGCCTTCTCCAAAAAACGTAAATTTATTAAGTTATAGGAACTTCGAATATCAAGAAAGGATTGTACATATAAATACATAATATATGGAGCAAGATACACGTAGAGGCTTAGTATATTGGGCAATCCTACCCCAACAGTACAAATGTACAGCATAACGCAAGAAACGCTACCCCTAAGAATCAACAACACATCAAACGATAAGCGAAAAATTAAACATTCATGCGAGTTCCAAAAACAAGAAACCGAAAAACACCTACGCGCCATTAAATTGCAATAGTGTATATAACTAAAATCTTCCGTGTAATTATTTTACACGTCGATACAGTACAAAAATCAATTCAGCTTGGAAGGGTAAAATATCGCTTTTGAGCATTCAAATCAACCTACAATAAGAGGACATAGATTAAACTAAACCAGACTACCATTACATAATGTAATACCCACTAAACTAAGAAGCAAAAGCCAACAAAAGATCAAATTAAAACCCCCCAAACAAAATTGAAATTTGGGAGGTTAAGTAAAATTGAAAACAAAATACAATTTGAAAAATTAACACCACGATCACATGCCAAAAACTCGAAAACCCTAATTTCTTCTCAAAATCGAATTCCAATTCAGCAAGCACAATCAACGATTAGGAAAAACGCGAAAAAAAAAAAATTAAATTACTTACAATTAGGATTGAGCTTAGAGACTGGGGCGGGGGGAGGCGATTGGGTGAAGAGAGAAACGGAAGCTTTATCGAAGAGGAGAGCGCGTGCGCGTAGCTGGAGGTAGATCTGATCCTTAGTTTTGGATTTGTCTGCACGCATGAAGATGTCCCATTTTTCTGGGGACGCGAGGAAATTAATGAAGGCGGAGTAATGGGCGTCGCCGAGCCACGGCCGCCACACGCCGTGGCTCTCCAGCTTCCGCGCCAACTCGAATCCCCGGCCGTCGTCTCCCAGTAACGCCATTTTTTAAGCGGTTCAGTAAAATCTCTGTTGAATTTCTTTTTTTTTTTTTTACTCTATTTTATTTTTCTCGGGTTTTAGCATGGATTATTTTACTGAAATGTTAAATGGCGTTTCAATTTTACTAATGTCGTTTCGACTTCGAACCTGATTTTGACATATTTCTATTTTGGCTTTGGCAAAATTTGAAACACGAAAACTGTAGTCCTTTGGGTTAGCTTTCTAATCCAATTTAAATCCGCTAGATTGGATGCCGTGTGACAAAGTTATGGATGAATGAGTCACATTTTGAATTTTAGATATCTCAATACATCAAAGTTGTGGGCAGTATCCATTGATCCATGTATATCTTTCTCGTCCGACATCCAATTTTGGTTATTCAAGTTGGATTAAAAAACTAACTCATAATACTACAAATTCTATTTTTCGGATTTTGCAAAATCTGGAATTAAAAATAATCAAAATCACGTTTGAAGTCGTAATAATATTATTAAAGTTCGAACGATATTTACCACATCCCAACAAAGATTTGTTTAATTTTGGGTATTAGTTAATAGATTTATGACAATAAATCATTCAAAAAAAAATCGCCATCGGTCAACGTTGACCATTGACCGTCCGGTGATAGTCCGGCTATTGAGCTAAATTGGTAAAAATAATCTATGTTTTTTACCTTTGACGGTAAGATTATGCATTTTCATTGCTTGGATTTATTTTGATTATTATTTTATACGAACCATGATTGCACTTATTCAAATTGTATTAGAAAGACCATCTATGACCCGTTGTGCAATTTTCATATTTCATAATTTTATAAGCTCTGGTGGTGTAGAATCTATATCTTCAAGATATCACTCCAAATTATACTCTTCTTTTAGATCGTCGGAAAGTGCATCGGACATCAAATCTAGGATCGGCGATGGTGAAATAACAAACGGAGAATAATAAATGTTAGAGAGAGTTTTGGAAGAGAGTATAAAAGTATTTTTATTGATCTTAAATCGTATCTTTAATCGTACTCATCACACGACTTTATATAGGAAGATCAATCTAATCGCTTCCTAATTTAACTCGCCTTAATTAGGTTCGAGGTTTACATTGATTGCTCCATTATTAATACTAATTTACATTTTCCTTATATATTTAGAAAAGGTATCTCCTAGTCTTCTGTTTCTAATGGCTCTCGTTCAGCTTGCCACATACCCCGTTAATTTGTCTCAAACATGTTCGGATAGGCTTGCTAGCTCGTTAACCGCGAGCTTCTAAAGGGACCTTGTCTTTGACGTATATTGGGTCGGTGAGCCCAATAAATCTCTTTCGACCCATACATTTTATCCTTATACTATTTAATAAGCCCAATATAGAGAGTTTGACCCAAACTTACCAATCTGATCTATGTTTTTACCTTTGACGGTAAGATTATGCATTTTCGATGTTTGGATTTATTTCAATTATTATTTTCTAATACGAACTATGAATGCACTGATTCAAATTATATTAGAAAGACTATCGATGACAAGTTGTGCAATTTTCATATTTTATAATTTATAAGATCTGATTTAAAATCGCATGTCTTATTGTACCTGAATTATATAAAATTCTAATATGTAATCTTAATCATATTTTTTTCATAATTTTAATCATAATTTTTTCATACAATTAAATTGATGCAAGTTGCCGTATAGAGCCCAAGTAAAAAAAAACCCTCCATATTTGCAGTTACTTATATTCGATTTGCTTCATCAATAAAATCGCATTTGAATGTTACTGTCTTTAACTTTATTGTCATAGTGAAGACATTAAGATTATGTATGTAATCTTACAGCTTGATTCCACTTTGCATCCTGAAATATAGCATTTTAACACTTTGCATCTGATGATGCTATAGTTAGATCACCTTAGAGTGTTGAAGTAGGATGAGCTGGAAGAGCAGAGTGGATCACTGGCTCACAAGCTTGATGACCTTAAGATACATGCGATCATAGAACACGTGAACTAGGCCGGGGGTTGATCCGGCGGAAACCCATCCGACGCTCAAGTCAGACGTGCGGATAGTGGAAATAGTCCAGAGAATACATGTTGTAGTATTGTTCAGTTAATAGGACGTACCTTAAGGAATGAGTTCAAACATTTATTGATACCTTAGTTGAGATTGTCGGGCTCAAACCTTACTTGAAGGTGATTGGGCCTCGGTGGTAGTGGTCTTCAATATTGGGTTCGTGGCTCAATAGGTAAAGGAATTGAAGGCCCATTGGGTTGGCCAAATTATGCATATCAGCATCCTTAAAAAAAATTATACCACTTTGCACCCTCAAAATACAATAAATCATGCGTAATGCACCCGATTAAATTTTTAAAACTTTGAAGGTAATTTAATATTTTTAGATGTATTTTTTAGAATGTCCAATGTCAATTCATTTTTTTTTTATTCATCAATCATTTCTAAATTATAAAGTGCAAAAATAAAAACACATCAACATATTAAATTATGATTTTTTTTCACAAAATAATATTTTACAAAAAACAAAAAGGAAGAAAAAACATCCTTCAACTATTTAGGTATCAAATTATGTGAAAAATATATTTTCTTTCAAATATTTGTATAGTTACAACATAAAAATCCATCAATCGAATAATTTAGTAATTTTTTTTTTAAAGAAAATATAGTTTTTTCAGTAATTCTGTCATTTTTGTTTTTTTCGTATTCTGTACGCTCAAACTTATGTTGGGTGGAAGAAAATAATAATTTAATTTGTTATTTGCATCCTGGAAATAAAGAAAACCAATAAAAAAAATTAAATTATCCTTATTATGTTTTAAATTCTCAATTCATGGCGCATTGTTAATGATTTATTGTGTTTCGATTAGGGGTGGGAACGAGCCGAGCTCGGCTCTTTTGGCCAGCTCGAGCTCGAGTCCATGTTGCCGAGCTCGAGCTCGAGCTCGAGCTCATCGAGCCAATTATTTTTGGCTCGAGCTCGAGCTCGAGCCAATTTTGGCGAGCTCGAGGTCGAGCTCGAGCTTATAATTAATTTTTTTTTTTTTTTATCATTATTATTTAATTTTTTATTAAAATCATTTTATTTTTTATTAAAAAATATTCATAGGAAAATAAAAAAAAAATTATAAAATAAATAATGAACTCTAGTTATATATATTTTTTTATTTTTTCTATTATTATTATTATTATTATTATTATTATATTTTATATTATTATGAATTATTTAAGTAATATAGATTTGTT